ACACACGTGGGTGTGTGTATGTCACACTTAACATATTTAGGCATAGCCCATCCTGGATCCCGCCGCATTTGCCACGCTCAAGCCTTGAAGAAAGCACGTGGCCGATTTTATGCGCCCTCACGGACTCGGCTTGCATCTCATCTGCCATATCGGTGTTCTGGGCGCTTCGTGTTGGTGATGGTCGCCGCCTGCCGCGCCTGTGGCGCCGCCGCGGGCGGAGCCGCTACCATGGCCGTCCCGCCGGGTTCCCTCTGACGAGGGCGTGTGGGAGGCCACCCGCGTGCCCTTGGGAGAGTGCCTGGCCGCGGCACTGGAGGCCAGGGGACCATGGTCACCTGCCCCGATCCGTGTACCCCTTGCCTGGCCTGCGAGGCGGGCGAGACGAGTTTGGCTTTCCAGCTGGGCCTCGGGGTGCTGGCCTAGCTGCTGCTGGAGGCGTTGAAGGTGGCGCTGCGGCTGGTGGGCGGTGGAGTGCAGGCGTGTCTGCCCAGGTGGCGGGCGGAGCCACCTTCGAGCTCACCAGCGTGGCTCGAGGCGCCCGAGGAGCCGGACTTCGCGAAGCTCGCGGCGGAGCAGGCCCGGGCCAGTTGGGAGCGGAGCAGGTACCAGGCCGTCGGCGGTGGCGCGGACTTTTGATGGCGGGTTTTTTCGATGGTTTGAGGTACAGGGTGCCGGGGCCGCTGCACTGGCACGAGAGGCTCACCATCAGTGAGCGTGGGGCGCTTAGCTACATCCTAACGCCCGACTTCGACGACTTCGCGGAGCCGAACGCTCCGGGGCCTGACGTGGAGGAGGTAGTGCGATTCGTCGGGCAGGGAGGCAACCCGCCCGCCCTCGTGGGTGGCCACGTCACCGCTTCAGGCGATTCCCGACGGCTGCGGAGGCCTGGAGCGCGGCGGGGCGGGCCGTCGCATCGGGGTAGTTACCCGCCGCCGCCGGCGGGGCCGCTGCTGCTAGATCTGGCTACCAGCAACATCCTGGGCGTGGCCGCTGGACAGCACCCTCTGGCTGACCCGGCGGCTGGAGCAGCACCTGGCGGGGTGGCGCTGGCGGGCGCCGCGGGCGCACCTGGAGGTGCAGCACCGCAGGGGGCGCCGGCGGCGGCGCCGATCGCAGCTGCCCCTGGAGCAGCAGGCGGCGGCCTTGCAGGCCTCGCGGCAGCTCTCGGCGGACCTGCCAGAGCTGCCACGAGGCCTGCGCCGGCGCAGGCGCGGCTGGGGGGGCACTGGCAGCTCCCATCGTTGCACCGCCCGCGGCGGCACCTGAAGCGGGCGCCGCGCTTCCCGGCGACGGGGTGGCCCCTGCAGCTGCGCCCGCAGCGCCAGCAGTGGTCGGCGTAGGGCCCGCCGCCCTCGACGCGCCCGATTTGCGCGTGCTGGCCGCCGCGCGCGACGGCCGCGGGCAGCGTTTCTTGGACTTCCGCGAGGGTGTGCTGGCTCAGTCGGAGCATGCGTGGGCCGACTTCCCAGTCCGCGGGCCTCGGACAACCCGTTGGGTGCTGCCGTGCATCCAGCGCCACGGTGGGATTCCGGTCGCGCGCCACTCGCGCTGGCGGACTGAGATGGGTTTGGAGCCAGACGATGCTGGGGTCGAAGTTCACTTGTGCGCAGCAGGTTGCTGGAGACCATGATCTCGCACGACCAGCTGCACGCGTGCGACCTGGCGAGCGCGGAGCTCATCTCGAGGACGCCCCAGGTGCAAGAGGAGCGGCATCGCTCTTGGGGTGCCTCTTCCGAGCCCGAGAACATCGACCGTGATCTGATGATGGACGCGGCCGAGGTGCGAGGGGGCGTCTGTGTGGCGCCCGCCCTGCCTCAGCACGCGTCGGCTGAGCTGGCTCGCGAGGCGGCAGTGCAGAAGGAGTCGCGGAAGGTTCGCGAGGGGCGGCAGCTGGTTTCAGGGGCGTCTGGCAGCGGCGACAGGGACAAGGACAGGAAGGGCAGGAAGGGCAAGAAAGGCGAGGGGTGAGCTTGCGCCAGGCGGGGGCTCGGGACCCGGCCCTCGCGCGCGATAGCCTCGAAGGGCTGCAGGGCCCATCCGGCCTCTTGAAGGTCGGCAGCAGCAAGCATCGCCGTGAGCTACCTGATGGCAGACACCGCGACATCTTCCCTCTACCTGTTCCTGACGCCCTCGTCGCCCTTCCTGCTCCTAACGCCATGTCTCGCGCGGTGCGTCGCCGGGTTCTACGCGGTGAGCATGGCGAGCAACTCGCCCGCGATGCCATCACCAGTCTCAGCAAGACTTACGGCCGTACCTCTCACGGTAGTGAATTTTCGAATGCCGGACAGCGTGCAGGCGTAGAAAATATCATCGCACCTTGCCGCGAGGTCGGGGCCCCTCAAGTGGACCCGGCTGAGCAGCAGTCTTTTTCCAAGGGGGCCCCGTCGGCGCTCCTCGACGGCTCCGCGCTGTACTCGCCAGGCGGTGGAGCGGTAACGTCCTTCCAGAGAGACCTCGTATCGTGGCCATATGAGCAGGTTGATCCAGTCTCTCTTGGGTCTCTTGCTTCTGGGCTTGGTTTGAGACAGCTGGAAGATTGGCAGAACCAAATGCTTCGGCCGGAGTCGGAGGCACGGGCTATGCGCAAAGAAGTTTGTCCGCGGGGGCCTCATGTGGATCCCGTCCTCAAGAATGCGCCGCGGCGGCCTGCTGAGCTTTTAGTTGATATGTCCTCTCGAGGGATGCTGTCTTGGGAGCGCGCCATGGGGCGCCGGGGCAATCTCGGCTTGTTCTTGGTGAAAAAAAGAGTGGATCACAGCGCGTCATTTTCGGCGCTAGGATCGCCAATTCTGGGTTTGTGGATCCCCCCTCGACCCGTCTTCCGTCCCCGTCTGCATTCGCCTCTCCGGAAGCCGAGGGGGTGGGGTCCCTTGTTTGATGCGAGCGGAGATCTGGATGTGGCCTTTTTACCAGACGCGCCTTCCTAGAGGGACGGAGCACATGTTTAGCCTGCCCTGTATAGACTCCTCGTACTCGCAGAAGTTCAACATACCTGGTGTCCGAGGGGGCTGGCGTCGTGATGATACCATGCGTGCGTTTTTTTTTTTTTTTTTTTTTTTTTTTCTCTCTCCGATGGGCTTCTCATGGGCCCTCCACCCATGTCAGAACGTTTTTTTGGGAGGCCTTGGACAAAGGAGGCTTCGGCGGGGACGA